GTGCTTCGTGAGGCACCATGAACTCTAGGTTCCTTAGAATTACTAGCCCCATGGTGCAGAGGAGACCCATTAGTTTCTAAACAGTGATCTGTGTTCACAGAATTGGGGAGGCAGATGTGGAAACGCCTGGAAGTTAGATTCCTGCATTGTACCTGAGTTCTCTTGGCTGCTGTTAGGAATGCAGCCAAAGGCCTCCCGGCCTCAAACTATGCTAGATCCAGTTTGTCAGAATGGAGCTCAGAGCTTCCTCTTCTCCTACATTGCATTTCATGCCCTTAACGGCCCTGAGTTTTCCTATGGATATATTGATGTGTGGTCTCTGCAGATTTTATTATTTACTTTCTTATCATTTTATCTTATTTTATTGATTTTGTTATTTTTATTTGTTATTGGACACACAATGTGGCATTAGTGTGCCACCAATGACAGGTCCCAAAAATACACCCTAAGGGAGAAGAAGCTTTAGGAAGACAAAATTTCTTCCCACCCAAACAGTGACCCTTCATTTTTTAAATTGTTTGGAACATCATCGTGAAACTATTAGTTATTTCTTCCCGGCCACCCCCTCTTCGAAAAGTAACTCAGCATGTCTTTACTAAAAACAGGTAAGGTGTATTCAGGTAAAATGTATTCAGCGTCTTCTATTTAGATTAGAGCTTTTCAAACCATATTATGCGCGAAAGTCACCCAAAAGTGCATCAACGATGTGGGATCCTCAACCCTTTCACACCCAGGCTCAGGATACTCGGAAATGTGCATTCTGGAATCACAAGTCTCCCAGGGAACCCTGATGCAAGTGGTTCTGATTGTAGCTGGAGAAACATTCTCTAGTCGGTGTCCAAATCCTGCTGAGCCAACCAACAATCACACCAGGCCACACGTGTCTACCTCCTAGTAAGACTGAGGTCACAGAACGACTCTGTGGTTGGCAGCCTTGTGAGGAACAGCCGAAGCCCATGAGACGGAGACTTAGACATACAGATATGCACGCCAAACAGACAGACAGACAGGTAGATAGATACAAATGTATAAATGTGACTTATTGTCTAACCGGTGTACTTTGGCAGGGAAAGGCACTACTCAACAACTTTTCCAGGACAAGAGGCGTAAGCCAAGGCTTCCCAGAATGTCTCGCGGGCTCACTGATTGAGTGTTTTTCTCCTGACATCCCTGTTCCTCCCCCATGACAAACCATTTTTCTCTAGACTCAGAATGAACAGATAGGCCATGACTTTCCTTCTTATCCTATGGGCACTTCGTCAACTACTGATCGAGGCATCCCTTTCTCACTGACGCCTGATGACACCTTGGGGCCGAATGCCACCCACCTTTTGCAACTGTACAGGATTTCAAAGTTGGCATTTTAAAAGTAGATGCTCGGGGGCGTCTGGGTGGCTCAGTCCATTAAGCATCCAGACTCTTAATTTTTGGCTCAGGTCATGAGCTCAGGTTTTGTGAGATTGAGCCCCGTCTGGGGCTCTAGGCCGACAGAGCCTAGAGGAGCTCTGGGATTCTCTCTCTCCGTCTGTCTCTACCCTCCCTCCCTCCCTCTCTCTCTCTCAAAATAAATAAAAAATTTTTTAAATTTTTGAATAAAATAAAAGCAGATGCTTAGCAGTAAGTAATGTTTCTCAGCAATCTTTATGATTTGAACTGATGAGTGTCAACCTGTGTGTTTAGCCAGGGGAACTATGTGTGCCAGGAAGAACCAGGTTTGGAGAATTCTGTGTGTGCAGAGCATTCTAGAGCATGTGCCTGAAAGGGGTGCCCGGGGTCACAGAGGCAGGGCTGTGGCTACTGGGCCACCCCTGGGTCCTGCAGTCTCATGGCCACATAGGGGAGTTCTCTGGACTGCAATGCAGCCGTGCGGGTGGGAGTGGCTGCGGGTGTGGTCGTGTGTGTTCCTCTGTGTGTCTGCGTATGAGCACACATACATGAAGCTTGACCAATAATCACAACTTGCAAAATTAGCCACAGCTCGTTGTCTTACAAACACTATCAACCGAATAACTGCCTGCCTTTGGCATGAAGCAACTGAAGGAGGGAAGGGCCGAAGGAGGCCTTTCTTCAGGGGATGAAACCAATCTTGACACAGAAACGTAAATATGAGCCAATCTGCACACCCATCGGTCCACCCATCCAGCTGACATTTAATGTGCACCTACTATACCCCGGGAATGGTGGGTGCGCTGACTTGATTACATCGGTTCTTTGCCTCTTCCCCATATAAATAGCTCTTCTAATTTCTGAGCACTTTACTCAAGGCAGAAAGCCTTGAGTCTGTCCCTGGTTGGAAATGATATTGATGACACCGAAGCACACTGATAGCACAACAGAAGAATGACCCCATCAGTATACAGTGTGAGGCATCACGCTTTACCTCCTGCGTCTGTGATTCTCTGAGGAGCCCAGACAAGAATATTCAATACAGGCCTTCCCTCAATACAGGCCTTCCCTCAGATGGATTCTCTGGTCTTAGAGCCTGAATAAAAACTTTGTTGTGCCTGCACTGAAGACATGACACTCTTCAGAAACAAGGCTAAGGGTGAGATGGGTGTGGGTGGTGGCCCTTTGGGTTTGTACCTTATCCTGCATATCCAGCCAGCGTCCGAGGCAACGGCATTCTTGCCCTCTTCTCCCCGCCCCCCAGGAACGCCGCTGCTCTCCAGCCTTGTTTGGGCACCCACGTCTGGGGCGCATGCCTCGGACATTGCATTTCCCTAAGGTTCCCACTCAGCTGGAACTGCCTTCTGTTCAACAGCCTAGGAGTGAGTCACAAGTTTCGGGTCAGCAGCTCAGATGCTATGATCAAACCAAATGGGGGGTTTCCCTACGAAAGCCAACTGCCTTTCGGTCACCATCAAAACCTGTTTTGTCCCTGTTTCGGGCACACATGAGGCTGCATCTCTGCTGTGTCCTTTAAAGTCTCACAACACACCTCCAGGTGAGAGACGGCTGCGAAGGATGATGCCCTTCGTCTCAACCACATCCAATCGGCTTCAAGAAGCTTTTCTGAAAGCCACCTCCCAGTGACAACCCTGCGGAGCAACCCGGGCATCGAACCCAAGCCAGACATTCTGGTGAGTACTGTGCACGGTGTGCTCTATTTGGAAGGTGTCAGAAGTCCATGAAAGTAGTGGCGTGCGGGAGAAGGGGCGGTGGGATGAGACTCACACCCCGAGCGGATCTGATCTGCTGGCCAGTCCACGTCACAGAGATGAATTTAGGTGACCTTGGGAGCAAGACGGAACCAAGTCTGTGTGGACTTCACCCATGCACAGGCAGATTTCATCATCCACTCTCCCCTCAGTTGCTATTCATCGAGCACCTAGTGTAGGCCAGCACTGGACTTGGCCATGAAACTTGGGCCTCTGGGGGGCTTACGTTGTATTGAGGGAGGAAGTCACTAAGCAAAGGCTCACATGAACGGACAGTGGAGTGACAGCCAGGAGGTAAGTAAGGCGGAGGGAGTTGAGGTCAGTATGTGGAGTGGGGAACAGTTTTAGGCGGAGGCCTCTCTGAGGAGATGTTTGCACCGAGCCCTTGTGAAGGACAGAACTAGCTGGGATCAAGGGTTTATGCTGAAGTGAGAACAAGTGCAAGCCCCGGAGGCCAAGCCACAGGATCACCAGATGGCTGCAAGGAATGACAGAGGGGAGCCCACGGGGGTCATGTTAGGAGATGAGATTTAGCCTAGCACCTAAAGGAAGAGAACCACGGGGCCAGGAATACCCATCTGAATGCTAACTTGGCCTCCCATTTATTAACTGTAGTCCCCAGAAGAAGTTAGTTGACCCCTGGGAGCTCCATTTTCCTTATCAGGGAAATCATGATAAGGATTCTTATTTTCCAAGGGGCACCTAGGTCGCTTAGTCGGTTGAGCATCTAACTTTGGCTCAGGTCATGATTTCATTGTTTGTGGGTTTGAGCCCCGTGTGGGGCTCTGTGCTGACAGCTCAGAGCCTGGAGCCTGCTTTGGATTCTGTTTCCCTCTCTCTCTGGCCCTCCCTTGCTCATGCTCTGTCTCTCTCTCTCTCAAAAATAAATAAACATTAAAAATTAGAAAAAAAAAAAAAGATTCCTATTTTCCAAGATATCATGAGATGGTGTCTTCAAACTGCTTACCCAAAACTCAGACACCTAGTGAGGACCCACACGGTAGTGATGGTGGCCGTGGTATTTTTGGATTTCTGCAGCTCGTTTCTGCTGAAAAGTCAGCTTCCTATCACTTTTAGTTTCTGCTAAACAAGTGAGTTCCTGGCATTTTCCTCAAACTCGGGACTATTGCTTTTTGGTTTGGGTTTAGAATTACTCTGTGGCAAAGAATCACTCTGGTTCTCGGAATCTGAATGACAGGCCAGGGATCACTGGAATTTTCGATTTTGGGAACAAGCAATATACAGCTCCCAGCTTTTTATTTTGCCAGATGAGAATTTTTTTCCCAAAAGTTACCATGTAGGATGAAAATGTTAACACTTCATTAAAAAAAAAAAAAAAAAAAAGAATATTTAGGGGCACCTGGGTGGCTCAGTCAGTTAAGCGTCTAACTCTTGGTTTCAGCTCAGGTCATGACCTCACAGTTTGTGACATCGAGCCCTGCGCTGGGCTTTGCGCTGACAACGCAGAGCTTACTTGGGATCCTCTCTCTCCCTCCCACCCCCCACTCATGCTCTCTCTTTCTCTCTCTCTGTGTCTCTCTCAAAAATAAATAAACTTTTAAAAAAAGAATATTTAGCACCAAATAATCTCAGAGAAGGGCAATTCTTCCCTTGAAAGGTCATTTTTCATGGGTTTCCATGCCTCCCCTTTCTCACACACACATATACACGCACATATACACGTGTGCGCACGCACACACACACACTCCATGGACATGGTACCAAAAGTGGACAGACTCCTGCTGGCTTGTATTTACAATCATTCCTCCAGGCCACTGGGGGCGCTGGAAGCCAGAAGCAGGAAGGCAAAGCTCGATGGCGCTATAGAAGCATCTGTCTGACCTGCTGGAACGATCACTCTGCGCTCATTCGTGGTCATGTTTGGGGGCGGCATGTGCTTCTCCTCCATGTAGCTGCCATAATTCATGCCGACAGTGTCCGGGGTGCCCACCATCTTCCCGCCTTTTGTCATGCTGCATTCATCCGGGGAGTTTCTGAAGGAGAAGAAAATAAATTCTTTCATTATTGCTGCCACTCGGCCTGCCTGTGATACCCAGAGAGGACCAAGGAAGGGCGTGGTGGAGAGAGACTGAAAAAGAAGGGAGGAGAGAAGACTCAAAGGGCAAATACGGTGTCTGTTCGGGGCTGAATTGGCCGTGTGCCCCCAAAACTCCTTTTCTGAAGCCCTGAGAAGTGGAAGGGTATTCAGAAGTGGGGCCTTTGGCAGGTGATCACATGAGGTCACAACAGCGAGGCCCCTGTGATGGGATTAGTCCCTTATGAGAAGTGGAAGGGACCAGAGGACTCTCCCTCTCTTTTTAAAAAAAAATTTTTTTAATGTTTTATTTATTTTTGAGAGAAATAGAGACAGCATGAGCAGGGGAGGGTCAGAGAGAGAAGGAGATACAAAATCTGAAGTAGGGTCCAGGCTCTGAGCTGACTGTCAGCACAGAGCCTGATGCGGGGCTCGAACCACAAACCGTGAGATCATGACCTGAGTTAAGTCAGATGCTTAGATGACTGAGCCACCCAGGCACCCCAGACCCTCCCTCTCTGTTTCTGCCATTGAGGATACACTGAGAAGGTGGCCATGCACAGCCCAGACCCTGGCCCTGCTGGCACCTTGACCTTGGACTTCCAGCCTCCAGAACTATGGAAATAAATTAATAAATTCATGTCATGTAAGCCCCCTGGTCTGTGGCATTTTGCTATGCCTGCCCTGAGGTGACTAGTGCACTGCCCACCCTCGAGCGAAGCCTAGGGCAGCACAGGGGAAGCAAGCTGACAGCTGGCTTCTGTTTCTTAAGCCAGCGCCTTCTGAAACTGTCATGTCAAAACTCCACTGGTGACAGCTGTTTGGAAACACTTGCAGGGAACAGTGACCGTCAGGGTCCTCTCTGTGACTGCAAATAGGCCATGTGCCCATATGCTCAGAGGTGACCCCAGCTCGGACAGCACTCTGCAAGGTTTATCCTACATCGACGTTCCCCTTCAAAACCTCAGCATGAAATCCTTGTGTTCAATTTCAAATCCCCACAGCCAGTCTTGAGATACGGAGGTTTGGAGGCTCACGCTGTCCCCAGCCGAGACACAGGCAGGCAGGGCAGAGTCGGAGGCCATCCTGCTGGCCTGGGAGGAGGCTGGATAGTGGACTCAGCAGCCCCTAGGGGTTGGGATGGGGTGTGAAACCAGCCAGGAGGATGGATACAGAGAGGAGCCAGCGGCTGGCCCTCTGCCAACCACTCACAGGGGCTACTACTATTAGGAAGGCAGCCGTAGCCATTTGGATAAAGACAAACCTGCCTTCTTTCTGGAAAAAAGAAGACAAGGACTATAAATGTATACAGTGAAATCATATCTAATAGGAAAACCCCAAAAAGAAAATCCAACCCCAAAGGAAACAGGAAAATATGCCAATTGGCCTTTTAGAAGGTTAGTCCACAGATCATTAACTTCAAGAACACCGTAGATGACGGGTCTTGATAGTTGAGTTATGTCTTCTAAGGTGGATTTCCAGAAATTTCCCCTCGAGCTCTACCCCGTCCAGAATTTTCATACTTGGGAATCTCCAAATCTCCACTAGCTGTTGGGTTTCCCTCCCAGTGTCTAAGGTGTTGAGGTTGTGGGCTCTACTCCAACGAGCTTTTCTTGATCGCCTCCACACGTCTCCAGCTGAAGTTCTGCATCCAACTTGTGGAATCATGGAACTGTGGCCTAGCACGGACTTGGCCTCCAAGCTTGAGAAGACCAAAACCATCTGAGGCAGAAGGGCACTCTGGGTGGGATGGGCCTGGAGTGAGACGGAGAAGGTCATTCGGGAGCCAAAGGCTTGGCAGGGGTGTGGACAGGAAGGGCAGACCGAGGGAAAGACTGCCCTGGCAAAGAGTTCGTTCAGCATCTTTAGATCGCTGAAAATACACGCCCCTCCTCAACATCACTTGTACACAGACCTGGTGCTGATGAGGGAGCTCAGGGCTGATAGTGAGGAAGGCAAATGCACATCTACGGATAAAGATCACGGTCAGGGTCACAGGATTAAGGCCCTACCACGGAAATACATGGCCATGCTTCATGGCATCCCTACAGCTGTACTAACACAAAGGAAATTTATAAACAATAACAGTGTGAGTTCCCATGGTGCAGACTGTCTAGATTTCCACTGCTGCCTACACATGCCTTATTTCCTCCTGATGCTACTTTTCCTGGCTGCAGACACTTATCTCGAAGTACCAATCCTAAAATCACAACATGGAATGTCTTCACTTGACACTTAGTTTCCTATCCCTCTGGAAAGTTCCAGCAGTTGAGTGGAAGGTGTGAGTTTTGGTCTATATACCTCAAGGAGAGAAGTTACTAGGGACTAGAGGACTGAGTCTGAAAGATGTAGTTCTTCAGGGAAAAAGCGTTAGATGCTGTTCAGCAGATGAGCGTAACTCCAGCAAAAACTATAAAGTCTGGGATCAGTGTTGCATGTTCATCCATTTAGACCCTTTTTATTGAGTGCCTGATGTATACCAAGCACCATAAGTTCTCTCTTCTCCAGCAAGACAGCGAAGCTTTCCCACTCACCTTGCACTGAAAACAAAACAAAACAAAACAAAAAAACAAAAAAACCCCCAAAAAACCAAAAAACCAAAGCCCAAACAAAACAGCACTCTGACCCTATTTTCAAAAGCTGTACCTTCAAAGCAGTGAAAAAAAAATCATCTTTTTTCCATTGTATTTTATTTTAGCTTTGAAGGAAGATAGAGTGGAACCATGTTTTTGATCATTTCCAATAGTTTTTGTAAAAACAAAAAACTCTAAGGGAACTCCAGCCCCGGCGAGGGGAGGGGTCACAGTGACCACTGACATGCTGGACTCCAAGCAGGTAATCAATACCCACAGGGGCTTCGGCTGTTCTGTTCTCACTTGTCAGGCATGTCTTCTGGTGTATTCTCTTAGGAATTCTAACAGCCCAAGAGGAGCACACGTAAGTGTGGCCCTGTCCTGAGAGCCTAACCATTAACAGTCCTCACAGTAGTCTGGGGTAGCAGGTGCACACATCACGTCCATTTTGCAGAGGCGTAAGCCAAGCACACAAGAAGAGCTTGCTCGGGTCGCAGAGCCAGGAGAGGTCAGAACAAAAGCTTGAAGCTGGGCAGCCTAACTCCCCGCCCGTGCTTCTAGCCCCTGCGCAGAAGACCCCCACCAAGCAAAAGGATGATGCTGTCCCTACAAGGAGAAATAGACCTGAACTTCAGAAAGGCATTGAGAACTCCCTGACCACGTGTCATGCCGGGTTAAGCCTTGCATTACAATATTTGCACAATTCCTATTCGGTGGGACCCAACAAGGACACATATAAAAGAAGAAAAAAAACCTAAGTAAGAAATAGAGGTAATTCCTGGAGGAGAACATTTTTTTTCCAGAGGATACATCTATTCAGACACTGCTTTATTTAAGAAAAAAAATCTCAATGGGATTCAGAGAACTGAAAAGTGTATATTTAAAAGTCTTACAGTAAATACATTTTCAGCTCTTCGCACAGGTGTGAGAAGAAAAGACCCACACTCTGTGGACATCTGCCTCCTGGCTTATATACTTGTAGCTTCACCAATATGGTGCATTTCTGAAGCTTACAAGTGGTCAGGGAGAAACTTCCAGAAGCAGTTTGGTACTCCACTGGCAAAAAATCTTGCCTAGAAACGAGGTTCATGTGATCTCTACGCTGACATGATAAGGATGTGGATGTTCAGCGTATTGCTTTTGAAATGCACGTAGCAAAGGGCATACCTTTAAATACTGTATTCTTAGTATTTGCATACGTGTTTTCTAGCAGTTTCTGTGAAGATTCTAAGGTAATTCATTAGATGCTTGCTAAATGGATCATCATTTATATGAAATACGAAATATGAAATATGAAATGCCTCGATCTTATTGTTTGGGGCATGGATTTCTTTACTGCAGATAGGCATCAGTCAAGACATTTCTTTCAATGACTCTTTTCAAGGCACACAGGAGTTACTATGCAAATCAAAATCACAAGGAGATATCACCTCACTCCTGTCAGGAAGGCTACTATAAAAAACAAAAGATGACACATGTTGGCAAGGGTGCAGAGAAATTGAAACCTTTGCATACTCTTGCTGAGGATGCCAAATGGCACAGCTGTAATGGGGCGCAGTATGGAGGTCCTTTGAAAGTTTTTTTTTTAAATGACAATCATAGGATCCAGCAATCGCATTTATGCATATTTATCCAAAAGAATTGAAACCCAAATCTCAAAGGGATATTAGCGCTCCTCTGTTCATTACAGCTAATATTCACAATGGTCAAGGTATGGAAACAAATGTCCATGGATGGATGAATGGATGAAGAAAATATGGTGCATATAACAATGGAACACTATTCTCCTGTAAAAGAAGGAAATCCTGAGGCGCCTGAGTGACTCAGTCAGTTAAGCATCCGACGTTGGCTCAAATCATGATCTTGTGGTTTGGGAGTTCGGACCCTGTATCAGACTCTGTGCTGACAGCTCAGAGCCTGGAGCTGCTTCGGATTCTGTGTCTCCCCCTCTCTCTGCCCCTCCCATGCTCGTGCTCTGTCTCTCTCTGTCTCTCAATAATAAATAAACATTTTTAAAAAATAAAATAAACACATAAATAAGATAAAAGAAGGAAATCCTGTTAACAGAGGACAATGGCGGAGCCTTGAGCACATTATGCTGAGTGAAACAAACTGGTCACAGATCAGCAAGTGCAGGATTCCACTTCACATGACATATCTAAAGTGGTCACACTCACAGAACTGAAGAGCAGAACTGTGGCTTCCAGGAGCTCAGGGAGGGAGAGGTGGGGTGTTACCACCCATCAGGCATAGGTCTCAGTCAAGTGAGATGAAAAAGCTCTCAAGACCTGCTCTCCAATATTCTCGTCTTTGATCAATAATAATGTATCCCTCAAAATGTATTAAAAAGGTGTAGATCTCGGGGCACCTGGGACAGCACAGAGCC